TGATATGCTGAATCTAAACATGTGTTTAGATTTTTGATTATGGGACCAGTTTTCAAGTTTGTCCAAGTTGGGGTCCAAAATTAAACTCTGTTTGATTTCAACAAAAATTGAATATATGGGGTTCTTTGATATGCTGAATCTAACCATGTATTTTGATTTTGGACATTGGACCATAATAGGTAAATTAAAAAAATTGAAGTTCTTAGACCACATTCTTTCTGTGTCAGAAACCTATGCTGTGTCAAATATTTAATCACAATCCAAATTCAGAGCTGTATCAAGCTTGAATGTTGTGTCCATACTTGCCCCAACTGTTCAGGGTTCGACCTCTGCGGTCGTATCAAGCTGCGCCCAGCGAAGCATTTTATTGGTTATTATCTTGAATATAATTATAGATAAAGATAAACTGTAACAGCAAAAATGTTCAGGAAAGTAAGATCTACAAATAAGTTTATATGACCAAAATTGTCAATTGACCCCTTAAAGAGTTATTGCCCTTTAAGGACAATTTTACACAATTTGTTTATCATGTTTTCTAACTTTAACAAATCTTCTTCTCTGAAACTACTGAACCAATTCCAACCAAACTTGAGCTGAATGATTCTTAGGTTATCTAGAATAAAGTTTGTGTTTTATTTTCTGTTTCGTCAAAAAACATGGCTGCCATGGCTAAAAATAGAACATAGGGGTAAAATGCAGTTTTTGGCTTATATCTCAAAAACTAAAGCATTTAGAGCAAATCTGACATTGGGTAAAAATGTTCATTAGGTCAAGTTCTATCAATTCTGAAATTTTCAGATGAATCTAACAACCTATTGTTGGGTTGCTGCCACTAAATTGGTAATTTTAAGGAAATTTTGCAGTTTTTGGTTATTATCTTGAATATAATTATAGATAAAGATAACCTGTAAACAGCAAAAATGTTCAGCAAAGTAAGATCTACAAATATGTTTAAATAACCAAAATTGTCAATTGACCCCTTAAGGAGTTATTGCTCTTTAAAGACAATTTTACACAATTTGTTTATCATGTTTTTTAGCTCACCTGGCCCAAAGGGCCAAGTGAGCTTTTCTCATCACTTGGCGTCCGTCTTCGTTGTCCTGCGTCCGTCGTCCGTAAACTTTTACAAAAATCTTCTCCTCTGAAACTACTGGGCCAAATTTGACCAAACTTGGCCACAATCATCATTGGGGTATCTAGTTTAAAAAATGTGTCCGGTGACCCAGCCAACCAACCAAGATGGCTGCCATGGCTAAAAATAGAACATAGGGGTAAAATGTAGATTTTGGCTTATATCTCTGAAACCAAAGCATTTAGAGCAAATCTGACGGGGTAAAATTGTTTATCAGGTCAAGATCTATCTGTCCTGAAGTTTTCAGATGAATCTGACAACCCGTTGTTGGGTTGCTACCCCTGAATTGGTAATTTTAAGGAAATTTTGCCATTTTTGGTTATTATCTTGAATATTATTATAGATAGAGATAAACTGTAAACAGCAATAATGTTCAGGAAAGTAAGATCTACAAATACGTTGTCATGACCAAAATGGTCAGTTGACCCCTTAAGGAGTTATTGCCCTTTATAGTTAATTTTTAACCATTTTTCGTAAATTTTTGTAATCTTTTACAAAAATCTTCTCCTCTGAAACTACTAAGACAAATTTAACCAAACTTGTCCACAATCATCATTAGGGTATATAGTTTAAAAAATATGTCCGATGATCCCGCCCGCGAACCAAGATGGCCGACATGGCTAAAAAATAGTACATAGGGTAAAATGCAGTTTTTGGCTCATATCTCTGAAACCAAAGCATTTAGAGCAAATCTGAAACGGATAAAATTGTTCATTAGGTCAAGATCTATCTGCCCTGAAATTTTCAGACCAATCAGGCAACACATTGTTGGGTTGCTGCCCCTGAATTGGTAATTTTAAGAAAATTTTGCAGCTTTTGGTTATTATCTTGAATATTATTATAGATAGAGATAAACTGTAAACAGAAATAATGTACAGCGAAGTAAGATTTACAAATAAGTCAACATGACTAAAATTGTCAATTGACCCCTTAAGGAGTTATTGCCCTTTATAGTCAATTTTTTACAATTTACCTACATTTTGTAAATTTTTGTAAATTTTTACAAAATATTTTCCACTGTTACTACTTGGCCAAATTCATTATAGATAGAGAGAATTGTAAGCAGCAAGAATGTTCAGTAAAGTAAGATCTACAAACACATCACCATCACCAAAACACAATTTTGTCATGAATCCATCTGTGTCCTTTGTTTAATATGCACATAGGCCAAGGTGAGCGACACAGGCTCTTTAGAGCCTCTAGTTTACTTTAAAAAATCTTCTCCTCTGAAACTACTGAACCAAATTAAACCAAACTTAAGCTGAATGATTCTTAGGTTATCTAGAATAAAGTTTGTGTTATATTTTCTGTTTCCTCAGAAAACATGGCCGCCATGGCTAAAAATAGAACATAGGGTAAAATGCAGTTTTTGACATATCATTGGGGTATCTAGTTTAAAAAATGTGTCCGGTGACCCAGCCAACCAACCAAGATGGCTGCCATGGCTAAAAATAGAACATAGGGGTAAAATGTAGATTTTGGCTTATATCTCTGAAACCAAAGCATTTAGAGCAAATCTGACGGGGTAAAATTGTTTATCAGGTCAAGATCTATCTGCCCTGAAGTTTTCAGATGAATCTGACAACCCGTTGTTGGGTTGCTACCCCTGAATTGGTAATTTTAAGGAAATTTTGCCATTTTTGGTTATTATCTTGAATATTATTATAGATAGAGATAAACTGTAAACAGCAATAATGTTCAGGAAAGTAAGATCTACAAATACGTTGTCATGACCAAAATGGTCAGTTGACCCCTTAAGGAGTTATTGCCCTTTATAGTCAATTTTTAACCATTTTTCGTAAATTTTTGTAATCTTTTACAAAAATCTTCTCCTCTGAAACTACTAAGACAAATTTAACCAAACTTGTCCACAATCATCATTAGGGTATATAGTTTAAAAAATATGTCCGATGATCCCGCCCGCGAACCAAGATGGCTGACATGGCTAAAAAATAGTACATAGGGTAAAATGCAGTTTTTGGCTCATATCTCTGAAACCAAAGCATTTAGAGCAAATCAGACAAGAAGTTAAAGTATTCATTAGGTCAAGGTCTACCTGCCCTGAAATTATCAGCCAAATCGGGTATCTGATTTTTAGGTTATTGCCCCTGAATTGATGATTTTAAGGAAATTTTGCAGTTTTCGGTTATTATCTTGAAAATTATTATAGATAAAGATAAACTGTAAACAGCAAAATTGTTCAGCAAAGTAAGATCTACAAATAAGTTTTTTTATGTTCAAAATTGTCAATTGACCCCTTAAGGAGTTATTGTCCTTTAAAGACAATTTTTTACAATTTGTTCATCTAATCTAGTTTGCTTACTTTAAAAAATATTCTCCTTTGAAACTGCTGAATCAATTTCAGCCAAACTTGGGCTGAATGAGTTTCAGAGTATCTTGTATAAATTTTGTATTTTATTTCCTTGTACGTCAAGAAACATAGCCACTATGGCTAAAATGGAACATAGGGGTAAAATGCATTTTTTTGCTTTTGAAGAAAATATGACAGATACAAAGAACATTTAAATCGCATTTTTTAAGCCACTCATTAATATATATTGAAAAGCAAAAATAATCATTGATGAAAGATTTAAGCAAAAAATTACAGGTGAGCGATTCAGGCTCTTGAGAGCCTCTTGTGTTTTGGTCTGTTTTTCTAATACTGTATGCAATAGGTCAACTATAATTGGTGTATGGAAATATTTTACGATGTACATGTCAGTCTGGCAGGTTTTATTTGACCTTGACCTCATTTTCATGGTTCATTGCGTATGTTAAGTTTTTGTTTTTTGGTCGGTTTTTCCCAAACTTTAAACATAGGTCAACTATATTTGGTGTATGAAATGATTGTAAGGTGTATATGTCTCTCTGGCAGGTATCATCTGACCTTCACCTCATTTTCATGGTTGAATGGTGAATGTTAAGTTTTTGTGTTTTGGTCTGTTTTTCTGATACTGTATGCAAAAGGTCAACTATATTTGGTGTAAGGAAATATTTTACGATGTACATGTTTGTCTGGCAGGTTTTATTTCACCTTGACCTCATTTTCATGGTTCATTGCGTATGTTAAGTTTTTGTATTTTGGTCTGTTTTTCCTAAACTTTAAACATAGGTCAACTATATTTGGTGTATGAAATGATTGTAAGGTGTTTATGTCTGTCTGGTAGGTATCATCTGAACTTCACCTCATTTTCATTGTTGAATGGTCAATGTTTAGTTTTCCTGGTTAACTTTGTTTCTTAGATACTTGAAGCATTAGGTCAACTATATTTAATACATGGAATGATTTTAAGGTGTACATGTCTGTCTGGCAGGGTTCATCTGACCTTGACTTCATTTTCATGGTTCATTGGTCCGTATAGAATTTCCATGGTTTGGTCTGTTTCTTTTATACAATAAGCAATAGGTCATCTTATATTCTGTGTATGGGATGATTGTATTAAAGGTGTACATGTATTAAAAATATTGCAAATATTTCTGAATTTACAGTGTCTTGTTTCAAATATGCACATCAAGGATATTAGCTCAAATATTTCAAGCAGTTAAATATTTTCATCAATATTGTTGATATAATCATACTACAGCATAGTATGTAAACACTATAAAGTATAAAGAAACTGTAAAAATGATCATCAATACAACATTCATGAAATAAGCAACATAATTGATTGCAATAAAGGTAAAAATAAATCAAAATTGAAAATGGCATATTTTAATAGGTGAGTGATTTATACTCTTAAGAGCCTCCTGATTTATAGCCCTTGAGTTTTCATCTTTAATTGTTTTACAGAGGTATATTTCTTACTGTAACATGTAAAGCATTAGGATAATGTGGAAGGATCCATTGTTGTTTATTTTTTTATTTCAGACATTGTAACATGTGTGGCATTAGACTACTGTGGCAGCCATCTGGTGACAGGGTCACGTGACACAACATGTATTATCTGGCAAATACAGCAACAGGTATTACAGTTGTTTATATTATTTAATCTTAATTCCAGAAAAAAATGCATCAGACATGCATAATGAGAACAAGGTTTTATTGCTGGTAGGGATTCACAAATGAGACCTATCTTATTACACCACTGTCCCAGGTTAGGGGGATGGTTGAGCGCTCACAAACATGTTTAACCCAGCCACATTCTGTATGTGCCTGTCCTAAGTCAGGAGCATGTAGTACAGTGGTTGTCATTGGCTCATGTGTGTCATATTTGTTTTTTTCGTAAATTGTTTTGTTATAAATTAGGCTGTTGGTATTCTCGTTTGAATTGTTTCACATTTTTCATGTCGTGGCCTTTTATTACTGACAATACAGTATGGGTTTTTATACGACCGCAAAAATTGAAAATTTTTTGGTCGTATATTGGTATGACGTTGGCGTCGTCGTCGTCGTCGTCGTCGTCGTTGTCGTCGTCGTCGTCGTCGTCGTCGTCGTCGTCCGGCGTCGTCCGAAGACACATTGGTTTTCGCACTCTAACTTTAGTTTAAGTGAATGGATCTCCATGAAATTTTACCATAAGGTTCAATACCACGAAAGGAAGGTGGGGATTGATTTTGGGGGTTATGGTACCAACAGTTAAGGAATTAGGGGCCAAAAAGGGGCCAGAAATAAGCATTTTTGTAACTTCCAGACAATAACTTGTGTGTAAGTGTATGGATCTCTCTGACATTGTACCACAAGGTTCCATATCACAAAGGGAAGGCTGTAATTGATTTTGGGGGTAATTGCCTCAAAATTTTAGGAATTAGGGGCCAAAAAAGGGGCAAAAAACAAGCATTTTTCTAGTTTCATGACAATAACTTGTGTGTAAGTGTTTGGATATTTCTGAAATTGTACTACAAGGTTCCATATCACAAAGGGAAAGCTGGAATTGAGTTTGGGGGTAATTGCCCGAAACGTTTAGGAATTGGGGGCCAAAAAGGGGCCAAAAATAAGCATTTATCTAGTTTCCAGACAATAACTTGTGTTCAAGTGTATGGGTCTCTCTGAAATTGTACTGCAAGGTACCATACCACAAAGGAAAGGCTGGGATTGAGTTTGGGGGTGATGAATCATAAGGGGGTTCAAAAAATTTGGGGGGGGAATTTTTTTTTTTTATTTTTTTTCTTTTTTTCCTTTTTTTTTTCTTTTAAAATTTTCCATTTTAAGTTGGTTATTTCTGATTAATATTTAAAAGCAAATAATAATGATATGGTAGGAGATACACACCAAACAGGATGTGTATATTATTATATAATAAGTATTGTGCAATAGCAAGAAATTTTCAATTGCACAGTATTGCACAATTGTAAGAAATCTTCAATTGCACAGTATTGCGCAATAGCAAGAAATCTTCAATTGCACAGTATTGCGCAATAGCAAGAAATATCCAATAGCACAATATTGCGCAATAGCAAGAAATTGTCAATTGTACAGTATTGCACAATAGCAAGAAATATTCAATTGCACAGTATTGTGCAAAAGAAGATACTTCGTATAAATTGCTTATTTCTTGATCAATTTCAATGGGGTTTTATTCTTGAATTCTTGGGGTTCTTTAATATGCTGAATCTAACCGTGTATTAAGTTTTTGGATTTTGGGCCCCGTTTTTAAATTGGTCCACATTGAGGTCCAAAGGGTCCAAAATTTAACTTTGTTTGATTTCATCAAAAATTGAATTATTGGGGTTCTTTGATATGCCGAATCTAACCGTGTATTTAGATTCTTAATTTTTGGTTCCGTTTTCAAATTGGTCTACATTAAGGTCAAAAGGGTCCAAAATTAAACTTAGTTTGCTTTTAACAAAAATTGAATTTTTAGGGTACTTTGATATGCTGAATCTAAACATGTATTTAGATTTTTGATTATGGGCCCAGTTTTCAAGTTGGTCCAAATCGGGGTCCAAAATTAAACTTTGTTTGATTTCAACAAAAATTGAATATATGGGGTTCTTTGATATGCTGAATCTAACCATGTATTTAGATTTTTGATTTTTGGGCCCTGTTATCAACTTTGTCCACATTGAGGTCAAAAGGGTCCAAAATTAAACTTTGTTTGATTTCATCAAAAATTGAATTCTTGGGGTTCTTTGATATGCTGAATCTAACAATGTATTTAGATTTTTTATTTGTGGACCCGCTATCAAATTGGTTCATATTGAGGTCTAAAGGGTCCAAAATTAAACTTTGTTTTATTTCATCAAAATTGAATTATTGGGGTTCTTTGATATGCCAAATCTAACCGTGTATTTAGATTTTTAATTTTTGGGTCCCGTTTTTAAATTGGTCTACATTAAGGTCCAAAGGGTCCAAAATTAAACTTAGTTTGATTTTAACAAAAATTGAATTCTTGGGGTTCTTTGATATGCTGAATCTAAACATGTGTTTAGATTTTTGATTATGGGCCCAGTTTTCAAGTTGGTCCAAGTTGGGGTCCAAAATTAAACTTTGTTTGATTTCAACAAAAATTGAATATATGGGGTTCTTTGATATGCTGAATCTAAACATGTATTTAGATTTTAGATTTTTGGCCCAGTTTTCAAGTTGGTCCAAATTGGGGTCCAAAATTAAATTTTGTTTGATTTCAACAAAAATTGAATATATGGGGTTCTTTGATATGCTGAATCTTACCATGTATTTAGATTTTTTATTTGTGGGCCCGCTATCAAATTGGTTCATATTGAGGTCAAAATGGTCCAAAATTAAACTTTGTTTGATTTCATCAAAAATTTAATTATTGGGGTTTTTTGATATGCCAAATCTAACCGTGTTTTTAGATTTTTAATTTTGGGTCCCGTTTTTTAAATTGGTCTACATTAAGGTCCAAAGGGTCCAAAATTAAACTTAGTTTGATTTTAACAAAAATTGAATTCTTGGGGTACTTTGATATGCTGAATCTAAACATGTGTTTAGATTTTTGATTATGGGACCAGTTTTCAAGTTTGTTCAAGTTGGGGTCCAAAATTAAACTTTGTTTGATTTCAACAAAAATTGAATATATGGGGTTCTTTGATATGCTGAATCTAACCATGTATTTTGATTTTGGACATTGGACCATAATAGGTAAATTAAAAAAATTGAAGTTCTTAGACCACATTCTTTCTATGTCAGAACCTATGCTGTGTCAAATATTTAATCACAATCCAAATTCAGAGCTGTATCAAGCTTGAATGTTGTGTCTATACTTGCCCCAACTGTTCAGGGTTGGACCTCTGCGGTCGTATCAAGCTGCGCCCAGCGAAGCATTTTATTCTCATTGTTGAAGGTCATACAGTTGCCTATTATTACATGCATCCACTTCATTTGAACTCTGGTGGATAGGGGTGTAAAAATGAAAATATTTGATGTCTTGTTATAAGACTCTGACTATACAACTATAATACAGTTGTCCCATTATTTTTACCTTAGTCCAGTAAAATGTCCAGATATTTTCTGTATCGTTTTCACTTACCCAGTTTCATATGTAATTTTTGAACCCAATGGAAAATTGACCCCCCCCCCCCCCCCCCTGTTTATTCATTCCATATACTTGTTGGAACATTTTACAATGTTATAAGTAGTTAAATGCATGATATGGGGATTCAAAATACCATGGCTAAGAAAAAGTGTAATAAAATATTCTTCAACATATGTGTTTCATTCCAGATACTTTTTGAAGCATTATAATTAGATCAGGTAGCTGAAATCCTTTAATTATTTCAAATTCTAATATCTAAAGGGGGTTAGATTTTTCATGGTAGGAGGTTAGAAATACCATGGTTAAGAAAATTGATCTTAAATTTTTTTCCAACATGAATTGTTTGTTCAATTTACTAATTACAACATTATAACTAGTTAAAGAAGATTAAACACTATTATTAATTGTAAATTTGGACCTATTAGTAGAGGGGGTTAAGTTTTTCATGGTAGGGGGTCAAAATACCATAGCTAAGAAAAAGTGTTATAAAAATTTTTCAAAACATTCATAGCTATTCAAACTACTTTATAATAAGTATGCTCTAATAAGTATTTGTGATAAAACCAGTTTAAAAAGTTTTTACAATTTTACTGGACCATGGTGTTTTATTATATATGTAAAAATACTTAAATATCTTTGATACTGGGCAATAATACAAGATTGTTTAATGTACATATTGTAGTAATATGTTATAGGCAAAAATTAATATGCGAGTCATAATTATTGCGTTGATTTTCTTGTTACATTTTTCACATCATTAATAACTTGGTATTAATTTCCGAATTTACAGTATTAACATGAAATAAAATATGTTAATGCTCTGCTATTTTCTTAAATTTCGTATTGATCTTTTTGTATAATATTTTTCCTGATCTAGCTACTGGACTGAGAATGGTTTTTCTCAGTTGAGTAGAGTGAGAACTCAGACTTCAAAATCATAGATAATTTATAGACTATAGAATACTTCACGTATCACTTTACTTTCGTCAAGATTTGTTGCATTTTTAGCTAACCAGGCCCGAAGGGCCAAGTGAGCTTTTCTCATCACTTGGCGTCCGTCGTCCGTCGTCGGCGTAAACTTTTTACATTTTGAACTTCTTCTAGAGAACCACTGAATGGAATGAAACCAAACATGGCATGAATGTTTCTTATGAGGTGCTGACCAAGTGTTGTTACTTTGTAGCCGATCCATCATCCAAGATGGCCGCCAGCGTGGCACTTAGTTTAACATAGGACCCTATGGGAAATGCATACAAATGACTTCTTTTAGAGAACCACTGAATGGAATGAAACCAAACATGGCATGAATGTTCCTTATGAGGTGCTGACCATGTGTTGTTACTTTGTAGCCGATCCATCATCCAAGATGGCCGCCAGTGGGTGACTTAGTTTAACATAGGACCCTATGGGAAATACATACAAATGTCTTCTTTTAGTGAACCACTGAATGGAATGAAACCAAACATGGCATGAATGTTCCTTATGAGGTGCTGACCAAGTGTTGTTACTTTGTAGCTGATCCATCAT